CGAAATTTCAAAGAAAAAACCATAAAGGAAAATAAATTCTTTGCAAATAAAACAAAAGAAAAAAAAAACAATTCAATTCTAAAGTATCTTTATAAATAATCATGGCATTCTGAATCCTCTGAACTAGAGTCATCATTTGGTTGAATTATGATGGGTTGTAAAGAGGGTAATACTACATACTCATCTTCTTCTTTGATAACATGTTCAACACAGTTTTTCCAAAGCTCTTGGTGGTCTGCTGCTAGAACTTTCTTTACGAGTTCTACAACTTCTTTACTCAGTTCTGGAGACTGATTACATTTTCGTAATTTTGATTTTAAGTTTGCCAATATTAACTTTATAGGGTTAAATATGCAATAGTAAGGAGGTAGTCTGAGAAGAGTTTGCACAGCTTGTCAATATAATACATTTTTTCTAACTTTATACCTTTAATAACAGTAAGAAATTCTTTGTTTGTTGGTCCTTTTTTACTATCACTAGCAGGAATAGGAATATTTTTTTCGGACATAAAAGCTAAAATTTGAGCTTTTTTACTGCTACTATTTGGTATTTTAAGGAGTTACCGCGAGTGGTAGGATGCGTTGTTCATAACGATTACTGACTGACTGTGGTGGAATGTAAGGTAAAAGCTGTTCATTAAACCGTTTTTCAAATAATTCTGCTGTCATATCTTCATGATAATCAACTGCACAGTTTTTAATTTGTTTAGCAGATAATAATAAAGCATTAGGCATGAAACCGTCTTTGCTTCCAGCGTGTACTATTATAATGCGTTTCCCTTTAGAACATGGCCCATTCAAACAGCAATTTTTACTACTGCCAACCCAACCGAAATTTACTACATCGTGACTGTCAAACCATGTTTCATCTAGATAAATTATGTGTCTATTAGAACTTCTGTAGCCTTTTATCTGACGCAAATAATCTTGTCGCCATTGAACTATCCTTGACGATTCGGTGATTGCCATCTGTTTATTCAATTTTTTGTGTTTAAAACCACATGCTGACAAAACTTGACGCAATGTTTCCAAACTGGTATAAGTGTATCCTGGAAAATCTGCCACCTTTTGCTGTATTACTTCCAATGTCGGAACCCTGTTCTCCTTATATAAACTATAAATTGTCCTTCGTATAAAATCTTGGGTAGCTCTGTCAACTGATTTCAGTTTTTCTTTACATGTTTTTCGGTTTTATGAATAATCCAGAGCAACCCCTTTCGTGACTACCGGATAAACGGAAAATTTATTTACTTTAGTTAATTCAGCAATTGTTATTATGAACGCATTATCAGACTGCTGAATATTTTCCTTTTTTAAACATTCGAATATATTTAAAATAACTTGTTGTGTTTGTATATCTAAATCCTTATCGTTAAAGTCATACCTGTCTTTAATCTCACTACACTGTGCAATTTCATTTTCTTCATTCGCCCATGGTCTAAAGAACGCCATATTTATATTTATTAAAAGAAATTTAAATTAAACCAACCACACATACAAAACACACCGCACGACAGTACTCCACTGATATCGCAGACTGTCTTCCAGGAATATTTTCGAACACCTGCCTTCCGTAAACCTTCGGCCAATACAGTGCATTTAAGTTTACGATTCGATGTTTTCATTGGTAAACAACTGATGGTTCGTTTAATATTTACCGCTTTGTATAAGGGGAGTAAACATTATTTTTCGTTTCTTAATTTGGCATGAGTACCGTGCGTATATATTAAATATTGATGATTCCCCACATAACTGTGTTCTGCAATTGATAATGGAAGGACTTCACCTACTATTAGAAATCTCTCGAGAGATAAAACATTGTTTAAAAATTCCTCGAACGATAAAATTATTAGAAAATGCTCGAGAGATAAAATATTGTACACATTGCTCGAGATATAAAACAATGTTAAAAATTTATCGAGAGTTAAAATATTTTTATAAATTTGTCTAGAGTTAAAATATTGTGCAGTTTGCTAAAGAGATAAAGTTGTTAAAAATTGCTCGAGAGATAGAATAATGTTATAAATTTATCGAAAGATAAAATATTGTTTAAATATAGCTCAAGAGATAAAAAAAGGTTTAAAAACTGCTCGAGAGATAAAATAGTTCGAGAGATAAAATAGTATTATTATTAAAATCTTATTCAAAAATTACTCGAGAATTAAAAAATACTGTTAAACATTTCTCGAGAGATAAAATATTGTTTAAAAATTGTTAAAAAGTTAAAAAATGTTAATAAAAATATTGTTTCAAATTGTTGTGTTCGTGTTATCTATAAACCTTTTTTTTCTCTTTAATGACCATACTTCATAATTAGAAAAATCTGGTAATTTTATAGAATCTAGTACATTTTTATGAAATCTGGTACATTTTTTAGATAAATCTGGTACATTACAAAAATATATTCTGGCAACACTGGTCACTATACTCAAATGTTTTCTACTGTTGCACTGAATAACCCCTAGAAGTTTGATCCCATAGTTCTGAAACATCCTGTATAATGTTAAGTTATGGATATTGACGTGTACAACACAATATACTTTGTATATTGTCCCTAATACAAATAAAGAATTTGATTTGAATTGATTTCATTTGATTGCCAAATTCGATCCTATTATGGCTAAACATACTAAGAAGGTACCAATGGAGAGCAAGAAAATAAATCATTATCTTGACAACCAAAATGAAATAATATAATAATAGACATAAATTTAAGAGAAAATATTTTAAATATGGTCACAAGTTCAAAATAGTTTTCTATTATTCCTCATCGCACTCTGGACATCAGCCATCAAGAACAAATTTCTATCTGAATCAGGTTCGTAAATTTAGAATCAACAATAGGAGAAATTGTTGTTGAGGGACGTTTCTTATATTTTGCTTCAATAGCAGACACAAAAGCTGAGGGTGAGGATTTTTAAAAAATTATACTAAATGCTTTAAAAAACATAATTTAAATTTATATGATATGAGAGGCCGATACGATAATGGTGCCAACATGCGAGTCAAGCATGCCGGTTTACAAAAAAAGATACTCGATTTAAATCCAAGACCATTTTTTGTACCCTGTTGAAACCACAGTTTAAACTTGATTGTAAATGATGCACTAAAAAGTAACAATTTTAACGGGCAATTCTTTTCTACAGTTCAAGAACTTTACAATTTTTTTCGGTCTCAACTAATCATTGGACTGTTTTAAAATAATATATTTCCAATTTAACTTTAAACCACTTTCTGAAACTAGATGATCGAGCAAAATTGATGCCATTAGTCCTTTGAGGTATCAGCTTGAGGATGTCTATGATGCTTTCTATAGTATATTTAGTTTCTTTCAATAACAATACAAAGCATATGGCTGTATCTTTAGAAAATAAATTAAAAAGTTACCAGTTTATATGTACATTATTATTGTGGTATAATGTTCTGTTTATAGTCAATATTGTTAGCAAAATATAACAAACTAAAGGTTTTAATATCTCGGAAGCATGTACCCATATAAGAGATTTGCTAAAGTTTTTCAATAGTTATCGCAGTGCCTATAGCGGTTGCTTCAGCGGGTAGAACTTTCTCAAAATTAAAGTTGATCAGAAATTATTTAGGATCATAAATGGACCAACAGCGGCTGGTTAATTTAGCAATAATATAGATAGAAAGTCATTTGTTGTATAATGTAAATATGACTGATCATATTTGCGAATTTTTTAGAAAGAAAGCGCGTGAAGAGTTTTATTTAGTGTTTTTATTTAAGATTAGGTATCGTTATTTCTTGTTCAAAAAATTGATTAATTTTTGATAATTAAATGTATATTTGTGTGCTTCATCAGAATTAATCAAAATATATTATCGAAAATACAACTTCCTTTCTAATTGACAAATAATTAAAAAACAAAAATGACATTTTTCAAAAAAATAATAAAACTGTCGTTAAAACACCAATTGTTTAATATACAGGAGGTTCTCCTGTATTCCAGACTTCGTTTTAACATCCTACCACCTTGATTTTCACACCATTCGCAGTGAAAATTAAGTTATTCTCATTCTGGTACAAATCTAATCGAGGATTTCACTTGTCTTCCACTTTTTGTGGTGGTAATCACATAAGATGGAATATTCAAGGGCCTATTTTTGTCAGGGTTATTAAGTTTATCTCTTTTTAATTTTTGGGTAACATCTTCTGTGTTTATATCCCCAAAATGGAGTTCAAGTTGATAAACTCTTTGCAGAGGTCGCACTAGTGCGCCAGATGCAGCTTTTAAAATGGCCAGACGATTCTGTCTATCTCTTCCTGGGATGAACTCCTGAACATAAGCTAGAGGCCAGTCAATTCTCTTCTGGTTATCGATGCCAATTAAAACAACATCTCCCACTTGTATTTCTCGAATATTTTTCTTATTTGAAAATAATTTTAATTGCCCAAGGTATTCATTACGAAACCGCCGACGTAGTTGCTCTCTAAGTTTCATCCTATATCCATAACGATTTGTTATACTTAAAGCATCAGTGGCATCTATATCAGGAATTCCTTCAAAAAGAATATCATGTAGAAACATGGCTGGAGTCAGAGCTCTCAAATCAGTACTTTCTTCTGTGATATGTGTAAGAGGTCATGAGTTAATGACTGACTCGTAATCACAAAAAATTGTGGTTAACTCTTCGTAAGTCAATGAAGCTCGGCCTAGAATCTTTCACAACTCGAACTAACCTTTCCCACCAACCACCCCACCAAGAGGAGGTGACGGGAATAAGCTTCTGATTTTTTATTTAATTAGCGATTACAATGTTGATTGTACATATTACATATAAAATATTTAAAATATATGCGCTAATTTAGCAAAAAACGCTGTGATCACATTTGCACGACAGAGCTTAAGCGGGTTGTAACAGCCCTGTAGTCAGGAATACACTGGAATTGACTATAATGAAACAATGAAACCACTTTGATAAAATGACTACTTCCTGTTGAAATAAAAGTAATGTGTTTTGTTTGTAAGCATATCTAACCTTTAGTTCTTCGAGATCAGGCCTTTCAGCCTTGACAACCTCAGCGAGAAGTTGATCTTCCAAACCATCTCGTGTGACTGTGAAGTTGATAAGGGTAGCTTGTGCTTGCATTTCTGGTTTGTAGTGAGGATTAGCTAATTTAGTGTGAAGTATTAAACGGAAATTGGGGTTGTACTCTATTTCTTTGTCACCTATTTTTATTGCCCTAAAAATACAAAGAAGTATTTATCTCCAAATACACCAACATATCTTATTAACATCTTGGTGGTCTATCTTTCTATACTGGATACTTACTTTCCTTTTTTGATAAGATATCTTCCCAGTAACGTATCCAAAACTGGATCTAGATTTTCTTCGATATTTTCTAGCAAAACATTAACTCCCTCTGTAATTGATCTTTCAATAACATCCAAATAACTTTTATGTCCCAATCGTATGACTCTTAAATCATCCCCGTACCTTTGTTTAATCCACTTTATGCCTTGTAACTAAGTAAATTGAATTAAAATTAAAAACTAAAAGGGTATTTTCGCAAAAAGTAATTTTTAATTGAGCCAACTTTCGACAAGAACGGTATAATGAACGCCTAAGAATGATTTTACAATGAATATTAGTATATTTACCTGTGGATCAATCATAAGAGGCCATCTCTCAGAATTAGACAATATAGTAGCATTTTCTGTAGACATTAAATCACTTGGCAATCCCTCATTTTGCCACTTTGCAATAATTGTATCATCAGTAAGAAGTGAGAGTGGGTCCAAATTTTCTGTTAATGGTACCTTGGGCTACAAATCAAAAAGATTGTTTGCCGTCAAAACTGAATTCAATTTTGCTAACATTTGAAAATATTATTAGCTAAAAAATGGAGGCATGTTTGATTTACTCACATCTAAATTTATAATGAATGGAAGCCATAGCTTGTGAAGTAGATCTAATCTATATTGTTTGGTAAAACAACCCACATAGGAAATGAAGGCTGTTGTTAATAAAACGTCCCCAGGCATCATTTTTCCACTTTCTATGAAACTAGAAAAAAGTGTGGTATACATATCTACTCTAGTACTTATAAAGGATCATCTTGTAGCTAGACATTAACATCTTCTGCGACAATATATGCAATAAATATAGCGTTGAAGATCTTTATTAAAATGCTTAAGGACAAAAAATATTACCAGTTGACCGCTTCAGCCCAGCGAACATTTTCACTAGCTAATCCCCCTACTAGTCTATTAGCTAATTGAATAGTAGCATTAGTTGCATCAGCTTCTTGTTGGCATAACAATTTTTCTTGGGTAGCTGTTTCAAAATCAGCTGTTAATTTTGCCAGTTGTTCTTCCAAAGACTGAAAAAATAAAGAATCATTAAGTCTCCCAAATATGTAGATACTTTGGAATTAACTTACAGCAACTTTTCTTTTGATAGAGTTAAGCTTTTCCTGTGCAGCAGCCAACTCAAGATTAGCAGCCGCCAAGGCTTTTCTCTTCGGTTCAACGTCACAGAAAACTTCGAAGAATTTGATGATATTGATAACCCAAGCACAAAGACCTGCAGCCGCAGCTGATTTAGACCTGACAAACTCTGGTTCGAATTCGGCATCTTTAAGATACGGTTCGATGGATTTGATAACTTCCGGATGGATGTTTTCTTTGTCGTAGTTTATGAGCGCATCGAGGAAAGCGTCCACTTTTGCCATAACGATTTTCGCTGCTTTCCAGCTTCTGTCTTTGGCAACCTTACCTCCAGGTGCCAGCAGAACCATTACAGCTGCAGTTACATTTGTAACGGCACCTAAAACGTCATATTTAAAAATACGGGGAAAATGTAACTTCAACACCCTTTTGATGTTGTTCTGAGCTATACTAACCTGGTGGTGATCCAAACGACTTAAGCTCAGTCAAATTTGCTTTGTTTAGGGTATTCAAAGCTTCCTGGGCTGCTAACAATGCCGGTTCAGCTTTTAACAAATCCTCCTCGCAATCTCTTTGCTTTTTACTAACTTCTTCAGCAATCACAGCAACTCTTTCCTCTTCTTCATCCGCCAAGTTCTTTTCAATTGACACTTTTTCTGTTTCTACACCTACTATTTCTATTAGTCTATCAGCTGCATCGTTTTTTTCTTTCAATTCTATTTCTTGTATTGCTAATTTCTTCTTCAATTCTTCGACTTGCACTGATGTGCTTCGTAGCTTGTCCAAACCGTTTTCGAGTCTTTTGACTTTTGAAAGTAGTTCTTCACATTTTTGACGTAGCAGCTTCGAGTAAAGGTTTATTTGTTCTAGATATGATTTCGGGGTTGTGTAATTATATCTTCTTTCGTTTTGTAAGTACAGCTTTGATATTTGGTTGACGGATGTGTGTGCGTATGCCATGAAACGTGCTGATGATTCATGAAGCTCTGCCTGAAATATACGAAAAGATAGAGTAAATTGATAATAATCCATTTTTATTAGGTTATTACAGGTAGAACTTTTAGTTCCTGTAGAAACCTCAGAGCTACTGACACCAGAGCTTCTTGCGGCCATTCATGGAACCAATTTACTTGCGTGCAGTTAATCAATGACGGGAATTTTCTAGCTCTGACTCTGAGAGTGGATCCGACAGGTGAAAAGCAAAGTACAACTTTCAGCTGTCTTCTGACGCGGTCGATGAAGAATTTCCAACAGTTTTCTCTAGTATCTAGTATCCCGGCACCTTTGACTTCATTGCGGACACCTGCGATGATGTTTTCGATTTCATCGTCAGGAAACATATCGGGTATTTCTCCAGAGGCTAGCATATCATTGATCAAGACCAGAAATTGTTCGTTGGGTACCTACCAAAAAATTTTTTATTATGCAACACCTAAACGTCTAAAAAGCCAATAATTTTATCTTTTTTTGTAAAAAGAAAAGATGACATGTACGAAAAAGAAAACGAACGAAAACATCATTAATTGTTTCAAGAAAGAAAAGGAACCCAAACGTGTAAAATTTATTATCTATTCATTAATTTATTAGATTTTAGTTGAAAATGAATGGTTAGACTTAATACCCAAATTTGCTATTTTACTAATAGTTATATAGTATATAGTTTCTATTTTTCGAACTATTTTACATATACCTGTGCATCGGTCATTAAGAACATTATTCCCACGTTTTTCATTCCACTTTTCATATATAACGAGGACAGCTCCTTTCTCAAATCCAAAACTCCGTATCCTTTTTTCAATTGAATTTGGGCAACTTCTAAAGATGATATAAAAGCGGCTAATCTAGATAGAGATTGTTTCCCACTACCACCAACTCCTACTAATAACGCGCTTCCACGTGGGGATTCCAAAATTCTGTTGATTCTAAAAATGAGTTTAATTCAACCCTATAGAATATCTTCTTTAAAGATGGATAAACATTTAATAGTACTCGTATACCTGCAAATATGCATCATGGCGTCTTCAAACAATACTAAATTCATGGCCGCCACTAAGTCATTATAACTTGCCATTGCTTCGTTCAGCAATTTAGAAAGATTTGTCCATTTTTTTACTGTCATATATTTTGGTTCCCCTATACCTCCAGCAAAATGACAATAAATATTAGGTTTTTCAAATACAATAGATTCGTCAATTTCCTACAAAATGGTTATTCTCAATTTATTAACAATAAGTAAACAAAATATATAGATAAACTTACTTCATAGTTCTTCTTAAAAGTATCCAGTTGAAGTTTTGAAAAAGCGTCGATATCTTTTTCTTCAGTTAATTTATCCCCATAAACCCTTTGACATTCATGCAACCAAAGTCTCACTACATCTGTTGGCTGGCTCAAACATTCGTTAGTACTAAACAGCATGCCCTGCAAAAAAATATATTTATGTAACAAAAATAGTGATTATTTTTTAATTCTATCTCTCTTGGTGTGTATCTCCAGTTGTATCGCATTGCCTTTTTCTCGGTCTTTCTCTTTTTTTTACTTCTGATTTTTTCCAAACTACATCTTTTACTTTTATATTGGTCTCCATTTTTTCTAGGTATTCCAGGCATTTTAATCTTCTTAGTTTGACCAATTGTCCAATAAGTTTATCTTAGATTGATTGGTAGCGTTCTATGGTCATGTTTTCCTTACTTGAATGTCTAATTTCTGTTGATTTTTCTCAATTTCAAGATCCATATCTTACAATCATAGACCTTCGGAATGACAAGCTGAAAGCTGAAACCCTTGCTTGATTCTCGAACAAAAAACTCAAAGTTGGATATCAGAGCACATCTTAGTTCATTTCAATTCTGCTTATTATAGAATGTATACATTTATACTTACTTGAAATACATTTGAGATATCTCTCAAATTAAAAATATAATGAAACTTGACGGCCGTGGGCAAGAATATCTGTGATGTTTTATGATGCAGAGCAACTGTCGCAGCTACAACATTGTCGCATAATTTGGCGATGTACGAGGGAAACTTGTATTCCGGATTGGTCAAATGTTGACTCAGAATGCTCTTGTATATCGTCGTTAGAGCCTCACCGCTTGGAAAGCAAATGGCGAACACACAGAAATGACGTTGGAGTCTCGGATTGATCGTGAAACTGCCTGCTGTCGGGTTCATGCAGGAAACGTATTGGCAGTTGTGGATTTCCTTTAGAGATAATTTGTTTCTGTCATACCTACAAAACAGAATAATTAAAGGGTTATCCAAGCTGCTGATCTGAAGAAAATATCTGTTGAACGCATGTCTTACCAATGTCTATAATCCAAATGTTGTCGAATCAAAGTATGAGGTTGCACTGTACCATAACCATCAACCTCTGGCATATTCATATCATCGATAAAATAAACCATGGTCTTATTACCAGGGGGTCCATAGTTACGACCTGCTTTCTTCTCTAATGGTTTTTCCATGATTTTCTGTAACATTTCGGAGGTTGTGTAAAAATTAAAAGGTATGTTTGTAACAGCGTAATTTTCTGATAGCGATGTTAGTTTTTCGTTTACTAGCACTGTTTTACCACAACCTGCGTTACCAACAAGCATTACTGGGGTCTTTTTCTTCATTAGAAGATCTAAGAAATATCGAACTCGAATTGATTCTGCCGTGTGCACCAATACAGCCTAAAACGAAATGACCACAAGGTTATGTTCTAAGACCTATCTTGTATTGCTTCGCATTAAAAATATAGAATAAATAATTATTCAAAAAAATGTGTGTGTTTAAAAACTGACCTGCAAGGGAATATCAGGATCTAATTCAAATCTACCTAGATTTTCAGTCCATGAAACAAACTGTTTGGTTTCATTATCTATGAAATAATCGAATATGGTGCCGCCGGGAGGAAATTTGACAGTCTTAAATTCATTCACCCACCATTTTGTAAATTCCACTCTATAATCGGTAGCCTGAAAGAGATGTTTGCAAATTAGGAACAGACAGTGTTGTTAGGTTCTGCAGTTTTTTACTTGTTCTTGAAACATGGCCGACCCAAATGCCCATACGCAGCAGAAAACAAAATAGAGTTCGTACCATTCTTTGGGACAATCTAAAGGTATATTTTGAGGCGATAACAGAACGTCCAATAAGTGACATAGCATCGAGAGATGCGAGGTTTCAACAATAGGCGTGATCTTCTTAAATCGCGTTCTGACATTTTCTAAACAAGATGGTATGTACTTGTCGAACAGCATTATCAAGTTCGACTTTTCTGCAGGCACTTCTCTTGTTTCTATCCAACTGGTAACATAACTAAAATTTAAAAGAGAACACATATAGAGAGAGTAATTAAGCTGCGTGAGCCCGGTCATCATTTAGATGAATGACAAAGCTCGTAGAGCTCGGTGCCCATCTAGAATTGAAGGATTAAACACATGAGGCTGCAACTCCGCCTTGTTTAAAACACAGAGATGGGGATACTGAAACTCAATCCTTAACACCTAAAGGGGCAAATTAGAGGGAATAATTAGTGAGCATACATTACATCCGTACAGGATGACAGAAGAAACAAATAGCTCTATAGGGTTTGAAACATTTGGTATAAGGCTTCCGTATTTTGGTTTTATAATTTCTTACATGCAGACTCCAGAAGTTGCTATCAATGCTTCAAGGCGAAATAATTAATTTACCATTTAGATTCCCAAGGAAGCAAAATAATTAGGGGTTACTCAAAATTAAAAGGAGTATACAAAAAAAATATATTTTATTTACAAACATATATGTTTACAAATTTCTTTTACTATCGATTCTTGGCAACTAATCCAGCAGGCGCCGTTGATAAACCACCTTGACCTTCCGGAACGATTCTTAGAGGAACGAATCCAAGTTCCACCTTAGGAATTCCGAACTGAACAAGCTTATCTTCGAACGTTTCCAGTAGATCATCGTGCATTTTGCACACTCTCGCCAACTCATATTGCAGATCGCTAATAGTGGCGTTCTTTTTAGCTAGGATCTCCTCCAGTTTCTGGTTAGATCTGACTGGTGGTTGCGCAGCAGCGTTTTGGAGTTCCACAATGACTGTTTCTCTATGTTCGGCCACCTGACTTAGAGTCTGGATACGTCTATGTAAGAGAAGGTTCTTGACACCTATAACACAAATATTATGTTTATTAGATATAACTATGCCTGGCTAAATTCAAGCACAACTAACAAAAAAATTAACGTAACGGATATGACTAGCTTTTCTAGGTAGTGTTGTATTATTAGTTATGTTAGCAATAGTCTGAAACCCTAACAAAATTGATAAGGAAATGTTGCTACAACCACCAAATGGTGCTTCTAGAGTTTCTACTAAAGAAATGACAAAATATTTTTTAGGAATATCACCAGTCTTGAGATTTCGACAGTACAGAGTAGAACTAGATGAAGAAAGGAGTTGTGCCTATTGAAAACCTGATCTAATTGGATAGTTAGCTATTTGTATACATCTAAACATGAACTTTTTATACGTATGAAGGATTTTACTCGTTTTTTGTTGGACTTCCAAAACAGCATTGACAAATCTATTATGCAATTCGTCTCTTTCCTTTTGCAATGTTTCGAATCGTAATTCTAAAGCATCGTAAGACCATCGCAAGTCTTTACATTCCTTGTCTTTTTGCGCCAATACTACTTTAGTGTTACTTAAAGTGATCTTGTCTCTTTCGTAATTTACCAATTGCCTCTTTAAATCGTTTATAGTTTCGTCAGCTTTCGATAAAGGAATTTTTAAACGTTTTAATTCTGCTGTTAAATCAGACACCTGTTTTGTCATTCTGTCATTTATCTTCCTCAGTTTTTCCATTTCATCTTTCAGAGTGCTGATCAGAGTTAGATTGTTCAATGTGATGTCGTTGTAATAGTTTCTCATTTCGTTAAAGGATTTTTCGTGGTGCTTTATCAATTCGGAGATATGTCCGTTTTTTCGTTCTTCAACTTCGGATATTTCCATTTCATATTTCGACGTTAAGTGTTGTATTAAATCGCTGAACTTCTTTTCATACCTGATTTCTAACTCCTTAGCTCTTGCTTCGAATTGAACTCTGGCTTTTCCTATCTCCTCGCTACCTTGTAGTTTGATAGCTTTGATCTGATCTAAACCACTCAATTCTTGTTCTTTGAGCATACCTCGTAATTTTCTTTTGTCCTGCAACAGTTCTTTTTCTTGAGTGGTAAATTGATCCTGGACTTTCTTGAAAGCTATCAAGGTCTCTGCTTGGGAATCATTCAGACTATTTTGATGTTCGTATTGAAGATGTTTCACTTTCTGTCTGTAGAATCTGAGTTCTTCCGCATTTTTTTCATCTGCTTCTTCAAGTTGTCTATCCCTGTTTTGCAGAGCGGCTTTTGTCGTCTCTAATTCGCTTCTAGTAATTTCCCAGTACGTTCGAAATTTGTCTCTTTCGGTTTGAAAATAGTTTCGTTCCTCACGTTCTCTATCGTTTGCTTCTTTTAGTTTATAAGCAAATTCTTCGAGTTCTTCTCTGCTAAATTTGGATGTTTCCACTCCATCAATCATTTTCCTCTTGTTGGCCATTTTGGTATATTTTTAGTACTATTGGCGGTTTAAAAATATGATGCTAAAAGAAACAGTATTTACAGTGACAATCTAATTAAGTACAGTGAAAAGACAATCCCGTCAGTTTTCCATGGAAACTAATAGGACTTTTCCTTTGCATCAAAAGTGTAGCACTGAGCTACACCTTTTCTGAAAATATTGTTCCATTTATACAATTTGTATGGATGGAACGATATTTTCAGAAGTGGCGTAGCCAATGCTACAATTTATATGCAAAGGAAAATACCTATTATATGCATCTTTGGTGGCCTCTTATTTGTGGAAATTCGTCCACACGTTTGGTTTGATAAAGTGGTAGAAATATCCCAAGTCATCTGACAAAAGAGTATCGTATTTAGTTACAGTTTGCACGTTAGTATGGACTAAAAAAAATGAAAGTAAAAATTTTAATTTGCTATAGCATTTAAAAGTTGCATATCATTATAAAAACTGCTATATAGTATTTTTTTTCACAATTTTAAAATTATATTTTCAGACCTCTACCAGCCCTCAAAATAGCTAAAAATAAAATTAAAATTAAATGTAAAATTTTAAATAGCTATACCCATTAAAAGCTGGATTTAAGCATATACACTGGTTGCTATTTTTTTTTTCGAAATTTAAGAAATACGGTTTAAGCCCTATACCATTCCCTTAGAAAAATTATATAGTCAAAGAAATTTACTTTCGACTTGACAAAATTGAAATCCCGATTTTTAGTAGAATTGTAATACAACTATTTTCAATATAAAAGCGCCCTTTAATTTACACTCTTTTTAACATTCCACTCCCACCCTTCCATAAAAATAGTACCTACTTTTTAAACATTCTTTTCAACGTTAAATCACCTAAAACTGTAATCTATTTAAATAGGTATAAACAAAACAAGACCTATTAATTAATAGAATTCGCAATTTGCAGTTGAAGATGCAAGATTTAACACGTTTTCGGGGTTGGTTATAAATACGCTATTTCTTAGATTCGGGCGGTATTATGTGCCTAATCGTCGTACCTACAGCGAACATCTGCGTAACTTTGTTTTTTATTAAGAAGAGAAGCGTTGTAATAAATCAAAATGAGTGTCTTAATTGTAGTTTAACTAGGAGTAAAGTGGAATGTCCTATATTTGGGAACCCAAACGATTTGAACTCTCGTATGTTGCCGACAATTGAACAAATGCTACGATGTTATTTATTTATACGCTATGAACTAAAATATCAAAAGAACCAAGTTTTTAGAAGTTTGCAATGAACTTGTGCCGGTCAGAAAAATGAGCATAGGAAATGTAGATAGTGAAGAAACAAAGAAAATATTGTAGAATAAACAAAGGAAATCGAAAGACTAAAAAAATATAAATCAGAATTTTCCAATTTATTTAAGATCCAGCTGGTCCTCTCAAACCACTACATTATTGTCAGGGTCAGAATCTGACCCCTTAAAATATCAATCCCCTTCAGATGACGACTTTATCAATCTAAACTCACCCTCTACCTCAAAAAACACTTAAATGAGAACAAAGTTACCTACGTTAGGATTTGTATGCGATAAATATGGTATATCTGATCGATCAGCTGCTGCGATTACTAGTGCAGTATTAAAAGATGTAGGAATAATTACGACAGAAAATCCGTCGAAAATAGTTGACAAAAATAAGGTGAGAAAAGAGCGAAAAAATCTAGAAATACCGCAAGGAAGGAGTTTAAAAGTGATAGCAGAAGAATAAGAAGTCTGCATGTTGATGGAAGAAAGGACAAAACTTTACTGAAAGAGAAGAAAAACGGTAGATTATACAAGAAAACTGTTGTCGAAGAACATTATATCGCTTATTGAGGAATCTGAATCTATCTATATTGGCCACGTAACTCCAACTACAGGAACGGAAAAGTCAATTGGAAAAGCAATATTGGATTTTTTACTAAAAACAATTTGAAACTAGATGACAAGTGGGAATTGCCATTTAGATATGGCAACCCTGCGAGCCTGTTGTCATTGACAGGGTCAATGATACATATATAGTTATATAGATTGCTCAAAATGGGTCATTTACGAGCGGCTATAATGCCTCACAAGTGCTCATTAATCAGAATCTATTTTGCAAAAATGTGTTTTTAAACCAATATTTAGCCTTTGAATATAGTAAAAAAAATAATTACCTACATTTTTACTTCAAGGCACAAGCTTATGTTTATTTGGAAAAATATGGATGATCAATCTATGTAACTATCTATTTCATTGACCTTGTCAAATCACGAGGCCTACAGGGTTGCCATAATTTTACCATATCATAACCTGTCAAAACCCACTGGTAGCCATTTTGTTTGTAATGCCTAATAGGCGTTTCATTTTAAAATTAACCGGTTAAATTGACACTCTGAAGTTTCATCAGAAGGTGCCTTAAACGATATTCTAATAGGTAGGAACTTAGAGCATGTAAGACTAGAGGTGTTACTCAAATGGGTTTGTTATGTATTGAAGGGGGTAATCCCTTCGATGTTAGGTACACGACGCGTTATGATTGGCGAGTTAGGTACACGACGATTTATGATTGGCGAATTTAAATATCGCGCGTATTTGTGATAAATGACATTTCATTAGACGTCTTGCTTTGGTTTTTAAAAACATGGAGACTACACAAGGCGCACACACTCCATGTATAACAAGCGTACTGTGTTAAACAGAGTATTTTAAGAGGGCGCTAGTGTTCCATAAGTACCAAAATGGCATAAGAGAATGAGGCGGTAATTTGAAATAAAATAAATAATTCTAATTAATTTTTAATTAATTAATTAATTAATTATAACTCTAATTATATTTATTTAATTTAAAAACATTTGACACGTGTTTACGTTAATTAAATAATTGGTTACTTTATTTTCACGCTAACTTCACATTTGTTTATTCCTCTATATTCACACCGGTACAGAAGAAAAATTAGCGACGCTAGTAGTGAAAAAAGGAAGCTTTATTTATACGATAAAGCGCGGACATACTCTGGCAAATGCCACACTTGAGTGCGTGCTCCTTGTGTAGTCTTCATGTTTAAAAAGATCGGTTTTTGGGTCTACTGAAGACAATTTGGACGAGGTGCCTCTTTTATAAACTTCTAAGTGTGTTTTTATTTAAAAATAAATGCTAATCATGCCGAGAGTTTGTATAGTTTGCAATAAAAAATTCTTAAAAGGATCCCGGTTGACGTTTCACAAGTAAGTATTCTATATTCCATAAACGTAACTTAAAATGGGAAATGGGCAAATTAATAAGAAAACATGTTTGCAGAAAATTCTTCATTTGAACATCACCGAAACTGGTTGCGTTCAACAGAAAATAATTGTTTCCTTTGCGATGTAATGCTTAATGTATTAGTCTTCTTGTGTATTGTAAAATGGATTAGATACCTTATTGTATTGTACATATTTATTTGCCATTAACTTTTTAATTTTTTTTTTACTTATTTCAGATTTTCTACTGATCTCACAACCAAACTGACTTAGTGTGAAGTGCTCAGTTTGAGCATTAATACCATGTTTAACAACACGTGTTTATGTTCAGGCCATTTTTTAACTGAATATTATAACAAAGGTAGCAATAGATTAATAAAAGGAGCTGTACCTGTACCTGGCTTTCGAAATGTGTAAGTTTTTTCCATATAAAAACTAGAAGTAATGTAAAATGTCCTCGAGGTTTGATCAAGTCACTTCATATGTTTTTATACAGATCAGCAGTATGTGTTCGATAGTTTCTGGTACTAAACAATTGCAAATTGAGCAGATTACGTTTTTGTCTATTTTATGTGAATTGTTATTAACATATAAATAAAGTTTTTTAGTATTGGTAGTTCGTAGTTAAGCTATAATTCGTTTAATATGTAGTGGGGCGGCACTACATAAGTAATTTACAGAAGCGTGGTATAACTCGGTAGTCTCCTTTCTTAAGTTTACCAAATTTGAATAGGCCTTTTAAGGGTTCTGTACCCGAAGGGTATCCAATGGGACCCTATTACTAAGCCTTCGCTGTCCGTTCGTCTGTCTGTCAGCGGGCTGTATCTCATGATGCGTAATAAGTGGAAAGTTGGGATTTTCACAGAATGTGTACTTCTGTTGCCGCTATAACAACAAATAATAAAAATAAATTAAAAATTAAAGCTAACTCACCTACTAGAAATGACTTGACTTTTTTTGTTCAATATAAATAAAGTATTTAAAAATTACCAACATAGTATTAAATCTTGTACGATGGTGCAGATCTCTTCATGCGCGAGTCCGACTCACACTTGTCCGGTTTTTTATTATAAATATCACATATTAATAATAACAATAATTATTTTTTACGCTATTTTAGGAAAAATCTCAATTTAGAAATATCCAGAATATATTGGACTTCAATAGAAAGGTAAAATTATCAGATAGAGTATTCAACATTTTTTATACATTGGATAATTAATAAATTTGTTATTAAGAATTATTATTTTCAAGCAGACGATAACGAACAGGTAATCGTGAATTTGAAAACAGGTCAAATTTTGGTCAGAAAAAGATCATTTGAAAAAATAAGTACACCGAAATAAATCTAGAAAACCGTCATATTATTGATATTCATTTCTTCATGCACCAACTAATGGACCTAAATAATCATGAATCACAATTTGGTTATTCAGTAAATAGTTTAATACTGAGAAAATTCTAAAAATATGGAGAAGAAGTTAAAAACATTAGATAAAACTTCTACTGTATGCTGCCTGAATTGGTAGATCCAAGGCATGACCGGGAAATATCATTAAGAAAAACTGATTTTTTTAGAAGCTATTCAAAAATTATAAAAAAGTAAAAATAATTACCTCCAAAAAGTAAAATAACATTAAAGGTACTTCACTAATTATTAGTGAACTACCTTTAATGTATCTACAAAAACTGCTATTTAAGAATAAAAATAATTGATCAAAACTTTTATTGTTTTTATTATAAAAGTATTTTCTTTAATATTATTCATTTTAATCTAGGTACCATTAAAACAGTCTAATGCCTACATTTATTTGCAGGTACTTGTGTGACTAATTTATTTGTAGTATTGGGTCTAAATTAAATTTAAAATACATTTCTTATGCCTAACCCCGTATACGTTGTTAAAACTAATATCAAACTGTTTAGACAAATGCCCTACTCTTTACAAAAATAAAATATTTTATAATTTCTAATAAAATTACATCCTATTTAAAAATTAAAAATATTCGATGTACAGGGTTCATAAAATATCACGCAACTTCTGGCGTTTGTTTGTCCTTTCATATTATTCAGTTATTTTAAAAACAGAAACTCATAACCTTGCAGGAATTTGAGATATCAACTGAGAAGAATGTGCATACCTCATCCCAGTTTATGAGATCGTTGAAGTCAAAAAGAGAAAAGTTGTAATTTGATACTAGAAAAAGAAGATTGATACTACATCACGGCGACATATTATGGTAATCGTAAATAGCGCGCGAAAATAAATTTTAATTGGCTCATGGCCAATCACCCATATTCCACACCATAATAAGTCATGCGCCAACTCGTATCATGTAATCTCAAAGTTGACAACAACAAAATATGATTACATCATTCAACGGCAGCATCATTAAACACCGACTTCAAAATCGTGCAGATGCAGTCACCACATGTCAATTTAGATTCAATCAAGGAGGTGCTGTTACCTACCGACTAGAGATTGAATTAGTGCAAACTATTACAGAGATCTTTAAGTAACTATAAATATCGACCGACTAGCTATTAAGGGATATTGTATTATATTGTATTATAAACCGGTTTTTAGTAGACTGAGTTCGAAGGATCATAATAATAGTCCTGAACATAAAATCTATTTTTCAATAATTGCCGGGATTTTACGAAATAAAAAAAAATATTTCGCGATTGTGAAAACGGTCCAATCGTTTCATATGCCATTTATAATATTATAAAATTGTTAACTCTAGGACTCATTTTGGAGTATGAGCATACTTTATTTCAATACTTTTATTCATAAAGTATTACCTACCTATTACATTTTATTTTTAACGAAAATCGACTTTGTTTCCTGGACCAAAGTAAAGAATGTAGGTAGGTATTATGCAGATGGCAACAACAAAAACGATATCTTGCCTCACATTAAATATAAATATTTCCTAAAACAAATAATTTGGTTTATATACGGGTAGCAATACGAGGGATGTTTATAATTTCAAGTCACGAATATAGAGTCGTTTCAAAATATATTGCCACAATAATTGCGTCACATTGAGTCGGAGTGGGACGCTTGACGTGTCGCAATTCGCAATATATTTTAAAACTATTCTACCTAATTAATAAATTGTGATTTTGAAGTATCGAATGAAAACTATATTCTCATTGGTTAAAGATGGAAGTTTTTGTCATTTGAATGTTCAGGAATATTAATTGTGATTAATTGGTTAAATACCGAAGTTATCTGTTATCTGATGTTGGTACTAACCTAATGTTTTTGGGTAATTTTGACGGTCATTTCCTGGAATTTCCAGGCCCGCATAAATATTTATCCTATTAAAGTACAAAAACCCTACAATAGATATTATGAGTAGGTATTTAACATTCATTTATCTTATCTTATCTTAGGTAGTTATTTCCTAGAAACATTTCCCTGATTGTCAATAACACATTACCGTATATCTGTGCCAATATGACGTCACGACTTTTAATATACTTAATGAAGGCTGGGGGAAGGAGTTAAGAGTCTATAAATTTACAAACAAGCTTACGGGTATTTAGTTTTCAAAATTAAATCACACGTTTCTGAAGTGTTTTATTCTGCTGTTTGTTTTTAATAAGTGTTATTTTCTTTAATAGAAAATTGATTTATTTGTGCCAAGTGTCCTAGTGACTTTCATTGTACATTTTAATCAGTTTTATTTTTGGATAAATTGACATCGACTTCCTGCATTAAAGGTAGGTAGTATGTTTTTTCTATCACTCTCGAGTTCGTCATTTAATAAAAAAATTAAACGCTATAATTTTAACATTCAAATATTTGCAATTAAAAAATAATATTACGTATTAAATTTGACAATAAAAAAACTTATTAAATAATAATGTTTCATTATTCTGAATATATTTTTTCTACGATCAATATCCAAAGTAGCGGTAGGCTTTTGCACATTAAAATCTAAATAAAAAGTTGACGTTTTCTGCGAATTGTCATAATTTGACATTATTGGTGCACATTACCTAATATTCAAACCCATTTTCATGCTTAAAAATAGAAGATGGTGACATTCATTTAAAAGAAAACCATAACTACTTTTACCAGGTGAAAAATTTCAATATGTTAAAATAATTCATGATTTTTAAGAAATGTGCTAGAAATGATACTACAATATTAATATTCTTTTTATGTTTGATTTTCTAATAATGATTTTATATACTTTTAGATTCAAGGACAGCTAAGTATAGCTCAAAGAAAATTGTGCTACTTTGTAGTATATACTGGAGATGAAAATCCACTATTTGTTGAAAAAAATAATTTTCAACCCATTTTTTTTTTAAATATGGTTGAAAAATTAGAAAAATTTTACTCGGAATATATGGCACCTGAGATAATTTTAAATAGAAGAGGACGAGGATTAAAATGTCTGGATACCCCATATAATGAAACTTAAAGTGCAAAGATTAGCAAATTTATAAAAATTATAATTTAATGGACTTTAATGATACAAGTACTTGAAATAATGGTTTTTTTTTGCGCACAAGCATGTTCATACGTAATTTGCAATTGGTAATCACTAAACACAGATGGAAAAGTATATACGTCAACGATATGTTCTCTTATTTTTGATTTATTTTAACAGGTATAATATATGGTATGTTACTTATAGTATAGATTTTTTTATTTCTCGACCTAATTTATTTGTTACGTCTTCAGCAATTGTCGCTTTCAGTTGACATAAACGAAATTGATGAAAAGTGTTTTTCGCATTTTATTTTGACTGTTTCTCTTACTTTCGAATAGAAACTGAGCTTTGTAAACATAAAATGACGGATATGTCAAACTAAAACTGACGGTAAAATAAAACATTGAGTATCGTTAAATGCAACTTTTGAACTAGTTTCAAAAATAGCATTAAAATGATATTATCATTCACAATGTACTAATTTCCTATACTTTTAGTTGATAAATAACCGATAATAATACATCATATAACAAATAGGCGCGTGTCAAAAGGTCAGAAAAAAGAGTGCCGATGAAAAAAGGTCGTTTCTAATTGTATCATATAAACAGTATCAGAGGCAGTATTATCATCTCGTATATCCCCCGTAAACACACTTAATATAAACGGAAATAATCAAATACTAGTCAAAATATTATCGATCGGAGCACCATCTTTATTACATTACATGAAGTAATTATTGATTTTTCGGGGTTTATTTAGAGTTAAATTAGACGCCATTTTTGGTCCAAATTCGTTTTGACATGTTTTTTCAAAGAAAGTGACTTATAAATTTCAAATCTACACGTTTTGAAAAATATATAATATTTAAATATTCTGAGTGTACCAAATTCCAAGTAAAGGTTGAACTTAGGTCGTATTACATTTTTTTTTATTATTTGTTTGACATCGAGGTTAAAATAATTCTAGACGGCACCTTTGAGATGAAATAAAAGGGGGTTATTTTACATGATTGGTTTTTATTGAAAATAATAAATTTATTAATTTTCAATAGTAAGGTGACATAAGTTAGACCTTTATTTTTAATTTGGCCAAAAATTAGATTTTTAAACACTACATATTCGGAAAACTGTCGATTTAACTTTTGGTCTACACATACAATTTTAATACACAGGGATACCCCGTCCTTAAGAGGGAATATTATAGTCATATTTTTCAATAGTTTTTATATACGAAATTACTTTGCTATTTTAATAATTACAGCTTTATATTAAGAGCTGATCTTCTCACCTCTGAGTAAAGTTACATGTAAGTTTACTTGACAGATTAACAAATAAAAGCCCTATACTTTAATCAGCAAGTAGTTACTTTCAACTTTACTCAGAGGTGAAAAGATTGGCCCAAAGTCCAATTTTAAAATTTTTTTGATCTTATTAAGAAAAAGATTTACTACAAGTTGACATTAATCGTTCGAAAAATAATGCATGCTTCATAATGTAAATTCTCTATTAAAAGTTGTCCATTTAATAAACTTTATAATTTTTTGTTGACAAAACGGACCATTTTTTCAAAAAAGTATGCAAACCCAAGGCTAGTGCCACTTATTCTCTTTGCACATAAATTTATGGTATTATCTTTAAAATTTTGTCTTCTAGGATTCAAACAAAATACCTATTATTTATACAAATTTCTTGCTATTTTCAGCGAAGCAATAACTCTTAACGTTTCATAGTACATGAAAAAAGCAATTTATAAAAAATAAGTAAAATAAAAGAAAATTGCATGATATACGATTAAATACAAAGAATTTTCATGCATAGTCAGTCGTCTCGTAAATTATATCTGTTAATACTAAAATACTCACCTGATTTCTGTTGTACCTCCATAACAGCTTTAACAAATCTGTTATGCAGTTCATCTCTTTCTTTCTCCGAACTTTCAAAGCGCAATTCAAGTGCATCATAGGACCACTGTAACTCCTCGAGTTCTTTATTTTTTTGCGCCAGTTGCAATTTATTATTATTCAATGCTAGTTTGTCTCTTTCGTAACTCTGCAATTGTTTTTTGTAATCTTTAACCTCTTCCAAAGCTTTGTTCAAAGGGACGTCCAATCTTTTGTTTTCAACTATTAAATCCGCTACTTGTTTGTTCATCTTTTCGTTGTTCTTTCGTAATACTTCCATTTGATCTTTCAAGCAACTTATTAGAGCTAGATTATTTAAAACGATATCGTTGTAGTAGCTTCTCATTTCATTAAAGGCCGTTTCGTGGTTTTTGGTCATTTCTGAAATGTGTTGGTTCTTGCGTTCCTCTAACATCGATATCTTCATTTCGTACTTTAACGTTAAGTAAGATCTCATATCTTCTGTTTCTTTTTCGTACGTTTCATCAATTTCCTTGATTCGGCTTTCAAAATCAACTCTTGCTTTTGTTAGTTCCTCGGCATGTTCAAGTTTTACGGCTTTCATCTTGGCTTCATAACTCAATTCTTGCTCTTCGATTAACTTCGTTAAATCTCTTTTATCTTGGAGTAAATCTCTTTCTTGTTTTGCGTAATCGTCTTGAGCCTCTTTTAGAAGTACCAAAGTCTCAGCTCGAGATTCTGTTAAATTGAGTTCGTGATCGTATTGTACAAGCTTCAATCGTTGTTTGTAAACCGTTATTTCTTCTTCATTCTTTTCTTCGCCTTCTTCAATGAGACGATCTTTATTTCTTAGTTGCGCTTGGGCCTCTTCCAGTTCGGCTTTCGTGATTTCCCAGAACGTTTTGATTTTGTCCCTTTCCATTTGGAAAAAGTTTCTTTCTTCGCGTTCTCGATCATTTTCTTCTTTTATCCTTTGCGCGAATTCTTCCAGTTGTTCTCTGGTCATCGACGTCGTATCCACGCCGTCGATTATTTTGCCTGAAGTTTTCTTTTTTGGAGGCATTTTGTTTTTATTTTTGAGGTACTATGCACTGTGAACTACAACTTTTATCGATAAAACGCGATATTGGTGTTACCGTGGTAACGATTCTGTTTGTTGGGTTGAAATGTATGTTTCCATAGTAACAGAAACTACAATACAGGATAGCACCCTTTTAAAATTAAATCAAATGTATTTCACCTAGATAAAAGATACATTTATTATAATATGTAATATTATTACGTAGTACAAAACATTTAGAAGATTTTGAATATCTTAGGATTTAACAAAATCATTAATTTAATTTGATTTTTATATAATGCATATTCATTATACATCTCTTGACTCGAATATTATTTTCTCCTGTGTATAAACATTATTTTTTGTATGACTGGAAGACATCGGTGTAATATATTAAAAAAACATAATACAGGGTGATTCCTGATGAATTGTACACAAAACAATGGTAAAATCATGATATCAAAATATGAAGAGTGGCCAAATATGACCTTGGTCAAATTATGATAGTTAACAATTTGCAGGGTGGTAAAATTGAAATTTTTGATTAATAAAAAAACTAATGGCTCCAGGCAGCACAGGTTATGCAATTTAGTTTTTTTAATTTTTTTTTTTTTCATATAATTTAACTACGAAGCAATTCTACACGCATGTTATGTAAATTAGTTTTTTTTTTATTAGAAAACTAGTAAAATATTTTTATTTTCTTTAATATATATATAAAGAAGATTTAGTTTGAGTGAAGCGGTTTTGTTTACACTTTTTAATGATAAACAATTATTCAAAACTTACGGATTCCACCCCAGATCTTGTGGGTTGATATACAAAATTCCAGCTCTGGAAACGGTAGCCGGAGTCGCAGTTTTTAAATTTGATATTTCGAACAACAATCTCATTACTGGGGTCAAAGCAATTCTTTCGTTACTGGCAAGCGTTAAAACTTTATTATCATCCATTACTGTATTTAAAGACTCTATCCACATAGGATCTATGTCTCCATCTAGAACTATCCATTTCGGATTGTCTCCGGATAAGTTGGCTTGATCCCGCATCAGAACTGATAGTAGACCTAATGAAAAATAAAAGAAATTAGTAGATACTAAATTGTACTACACCTTTCAAAGAAACGTCCACACTCATATGTATATGAAGTAAGAATTGCAGTGGTAGAAAAATATTACTGTAAAGTAGTGTAAACTCGAAAAAAATCTAAATACAAACCATCTTTCCATTCTCTTGTAGCTGGATTTATTATCCCGAACAGCTCATCATTGGTAACAGCTTTGGGATTTAAATCATTAAATACGGGTTTTCTTTTCATATTCGAGTAAGTTTTAAATAGAGTTTTCCAAACTTCAGTCTTCCCTGTACCCGCATTCCCAACGATAAATACAGAATGTCTTACTTCTAAGAGCTCTTCCAGTTGAACAACCTGAAATAGAAAGACATATTTACTGTTTACAACTAATTTCTATTATACACCAGCAGCAGAGTGGCATCAGTTATTCGATACCTTTAAAATGAAATTATCTTCAGGCTGCAGTTTCAAATCGATCGCTGCCTGTTTAACAGTTCTTTCAAATTCGGCATCTCTTTTTCTGGGTACCTCTAGGGCTGGAAATAGATCACCAATCAATCCCATGAAGACGGGAGTGTCGTCAGTTACGATTTTCGGTATATTAAAGTCTCTTAGAGCTCTCATTAATACCTCTTCTTCTGGTCTTCCAGGGTCACCTCTCTTAAAGAAAATATATAATCATTAAGAAGAAGAGAAGTATAATCAGGGTATAGTCTCAATCAATTTCAACTCTCTCCAGAGCAATGACCTTTGAATTATATCACTGAAACCTTAGTGCCTAAACATCAGTATGTAATCTTGAATAAAAAATACAGCAACTATTAGTTTGTTTTTTTTAAAAACCAGATTGTGTTCAAGAAAGAATTTTGCACCACAAAGTAATCTTAATTAGAGAAAAAACTTTAAAGATTATGAATGGTCCTATATGTCTTTTCTGGTATCACAAATACTATCATCAGGGTCCACAGAAAGTAAATGATGAATTATAAACAAATCTAAGTAATAGTGGAATAAATCCACACATAGAAAAATGCTTTCCCAATGAGACGGAATCTAATCATGGAGATAGTGTCTTCCGACATGCTATTTTTACATTTTTATACCTTTAAAGATCCCGCTACCACTAATACGGACTTGATAGCTCTCAAACCCCAATCATAGTGGTCTTGTTTCGATAACAGTTCTTTACAAAGCGTGTAAAGAGTAATAAATTTTCTTGCTAGTATTTTGGCTTCCTGGAACCCTTCTGCTACCAACATAATTTCACAAATGAGTTCGAAATCTGGAACCACCATAGCGCAAGGCCTGCAACGTGATTAAATAAGTTTACTTAGTTCAAAGTTACAACGCACTTACCTGAATAAGGCCTTCAGATTTTCTGGTAACTCTGTTCTTCCTGCGTATCCAGGATTCATAGTTATAAAAATACCAACCGTTGATACTAACTGGATAGGATCTCCCATAAAGTCGAAAATAATTTTTTTATTTTTGATAGCATCGAGAACCGATTTTACTTGGACTGCCACCACCGAGAGAACTTCTACCGATATTCTGTTGAATTCGTCAAAGCAACCCCAAGCTCCGGTTTGAGCCAGACCTTTGTAAATATTACCACAAGACTGAAAAAGCAAACGTAAGTCATATTTTAGGAATGTGGTTATTATTTTCACAATTTAGAAAGATATGTATAGGTCTGAAGATGTTTTCATTCACTTTTCGTTCAATATACTCCATTAATTGTTTTTTTTATTTTTTTATTTATTTATTTATTTATTCTTACATTCAACGGCCAAGGCCTATTACAGAATGCGCACTTAACATTAATAAACATATATTTGTAAATAATACAATAAAAGCAAAACAAATTTTAAAGTAAAAGTATAAATGAGATTGTATGAGTAATCTGAAAAAAACTCCAGTGGAGAAAAAAGGTTACTCACACATATCGCATGCGAAACAACTAATATATAAGGATGAAATTAGATACAAAAACATAAAAAACTTAATTACACTAAATTACATTACACTAAATATTTTAATTAGGAATATATGGATATAAATCAGGAATAAAGCTTTTTAATCTTTGAGATGGTAGTACAAAATAGATCAATTTCTTTACTCGAGTCATTAACCGTGGACAGCATATGGTACAATGGAGACTGACATAATAAGTTTGTTCTGGGAGTGGGAAGAATGAATGTGCAGCTGTACCTGGAATTAATTCTTGGAACTAGGAAGTTAAGCTGAGCACATAAAGCCGGGCATTTAATTAAATGGTGTACTATTTTAAAAATGAAAATAATTGAAGATATAATTCTTCGTTGAAATAAGCTCTGCATTCCAAACATTGTTAAAAGCTGGTCTTGTGGGTATCCCCTCTCAGGGTAAGTTCCATGAAAATAATAATGAAGACTCTTAAGGAAACGTCGCTGAACCTTTTCTAAAGTTAAAACGTGCACATTATAATTAGGGGACCATATTGTGACGTGTAAAGCCCCTGAAAGTGAGCGAATCCAGAGTACATGAAGTGATGACTATTTTTATGGGTTATGTTACGGATTATGGGTATCCAGTCAATTCGTCGCGCGACAATTTATTGCGCGACCTTTCAGAGCCGACAATTCATCGCCACGACTTTTCATCGCTACGACAGTTTATCGCTACGACAATTCATCGCCACAAAAATATCGTATTGTATCTATGATTTATACAGTATGTCTAAAAAACAAACAATTTTTTTTGTGCTATATTGAATTTTTCTTACCAAATAAAATTATTTTTTCGAAAAAATTACAAAATATCTTACTCTAAATTACACAACAATATGATTTACTTTTTTTCTGCTAATCAAGTAGTTTTTACTAAGAAAAATATAATAAATATCAATAATGTATTATTGATAAGCCAATTTAAAGTGTATAAGCGGCAGTCGCAGGTTCTCAACAGTCCTTTACCTACTATTTAAAAAGGATTATCTTCATTAGCCAATTCGGGTAAGTTACCACATTAGTTAATAATAATAGAGAATTATAATTATCCTTTATTAATCCTTTCAAGGAGAAATTCATAGTGTAATCAATATTTAATTCTAAAAAGGATTATCTTCAATAGCTTGTTTGTGTAAGTTAGTATTTTAGATGTCCTGTTTATAATATATGTATATAAGGTTTAAATAAGAAATACCAACGAACTGTAATCATTCTTATTTTGTCTTTGTAAAATTTGAAAATGCCGTTACAATTTGTTGACAGCGAAAGAGGTCACAAAATGCTTTTATACAATGGCCATACACATTCTAGAGAAAAAATTCTGGAGAAAAATGTATTTGGAAATGTTCTCTATATCATAAATGGAGATGTACCGGTCGCATTCATACCATAGGCGATGAAATTGTGAAGATTACCGAACATAATCATGTGTCAGATAGTGCTGATGCCGAAGTAAGAAGAGCTGTTAAAAAAATGAAAGTTTTAGCTGAACAAAGTGGTTCCACTACTCAACAAATCATTGCAAAGGTTTCAGAGGGTTTATCATCATCGGCTGCAGCCAGATTACCACAAGTGAATGCAATGAAAAGAACTATTCAACGAAAAAAGGAAAAGACAGAAGGAATTCCTGCGATTCCAAATTCTCTGCTTCAATTAGTTATTCCACAGGAATATACACTGACAAGCAGTGATCAGTTATTTTTAATGTACGACAGCGGCCCATCAGAAGATCGAATATTAGTGTTTACAACAGCAAGAAATCTTGACTACATGTTGGAGTGTGAACACTGGTACGGAGATGGAACTTTTTCAACAGCCCCTAATATTATGTTTTCCCAAATATATACAATCCATAACGTCAAATATTCAAATACCATTCCAACAGTATATGCAATTCTGCCGAATAAAAGAGAAGAAAGCTATAGACGTTTATATGCAGC